GAATAGTCCGCAGCCTGGCCGCTGAATGGGACGTGCAATTGCAAACCACGGCCCCGTATAGCCCTCAGTCAAATCCGGTCGAGCGTCCGAATCGGGTTGTGAAAACCATGATTGCCCAATTTGTGAATGACAATCACAAGGGGTGGGACCGGCTGTTGGAAGAGTTTCAGTTTGCGGTGAACACCGCTAGACATGACTCTATCGGATTCTCCCCGGGGATGCTCTGTTTTATGAGGGAGTTAAAACCCCCAAAAACGATTTATGGGACGTCCTTTGAGAGTTCCGGGAGGAGGCTGAACCGTCGGTGGGTGAGGTCTATGAAGGTCATTGCAAAACCTTCCGGGAACTCTATAGCCAAACCCACCATAACCTCAAAGCTGCGTACCAACGCCAGGCCAAATATTATAACCTGAGGCGGCATGAGGCGACATACGAGATCGGTGACCGGGTTTTGCGAAGAGCGCACGTACTATCGTCTGCAGCGGATGCCGTGGTAGGCAAACTGGCTCCGAAGTTTCACGGCCCGTGCGTGATTACCGGTAAACGGGGGGTGAATGTCTACGAGGTGGAAGACGTTAGCTCTAAAACCCCTCATGTGGTTCACGTAAAGGACCTGAAACCTTTTGTGGAAAGGGTGGCTTAGATTGGTGTCGGAAGCGCGTTGAATGTGTTCTAACCCTGGTGGTGGTTCGGGAAGTATGTTTTGAGACCCGATGTTTTATGCAGCGCTTAGTTGCAGGTGGAGTCCCGGCTTACTCGCTTGCTCACCTGATATTTTGTACAGTAGCTGCTTCTGCTTGCCGAACCCGCTTACATAGTCGTAACTAGTGCCTTAGACTGTAGTGGGTGTTAAAGGTGTTGGTGGTTAATAATTGTACTATCTGGGACGGGATGGCAGGTTTACGGGCCAATAAACGGTGCTCAGTGGGGGACCTGGAAACACTCGTTGGGGAAAAAATCGTTAATGGACGGGTGGTAAATTCATTCCTCCGGCTCATCGAGCGTAGGTACCTCTTCTACCCTACGTTGCCAAGAGTCGTGAGTTTCGACACAGAGTTTTTATGGTCGTGGAAGAGGGGGGGATATCAAGCGACCCGAAGGAGGGCAGCGGGGCTTGACATCTTCCAGCGTGAGATGATTTTCTTCCCACTGCATCTGCCCCAGGTAAAACCCCACGCTCACTGGTCGTTGGTGGTTGTGCGGCCAGAGGTGAAAGAGATTCAGTCGTACGACCCAATGGGATTTCTTCGGAGAATGGAGATGGAGGTCATCGAGGGATTTTTGAAGGAAAAGGCCAAAGAAGAGGAGGATCCGTTGCACCAGGAGGGGTGGAGGATCCTAGAAACCCCCCTCCGGTGTCCACGTCAAAAGGACGCTGTGTCCTGTGGGGTGTTTGTCTGCACCTACGGGGATAAGTTGGCCAGGAACTCCCGACTCCTGGGGGTGACCATCGACCCGGCTCGGGCCCGCCTGACCATCAAAGGGGTGTTGGAGCGTGGAAGATTTGACCGGGAGCAGTTTGATGAGGAGGAGAAGGCTCAAGACCAAGAGGTCCTCGATGTTGAAGTGGTGGATCTGTGCTCACCGGGTGACCCCTTGTTAGGTGAATTGGATCGAACGATAGGGGATCTCGCTGAAATCTCCTTGAGGGACACGGCCGGCGGACCAGCGACAGAGCCGATGGAAGAGGGGGAGATTGTGGAGGAGCTGCCCACATCCTGTGTGTCTCCTGCAGGCGGAAAGACTACCTCTGAGCCCCGACTATTTGTGGAGGCAGCTTTGAGTCTGCGAGGCGAATCGCCTTGCCTACAGATTGAGGCATCGGAGGCCGAGATGAGTGCACTCGAAGTAAATATTCCTCCGAGCCGTAAGGCAACCCAACCCCGGAGATCAACCTCTGCCTAGACCGTGGCTGTACGGTGATCAAAGAGTAAACCGGTTGGCCACGAGACGCGGTGCCCCTGATCGTGCAAGAGTGACATCACGTCAGCCTGGTGGGAGTCGAAAGGACCGACAGAACCGGCGGTGGGAAAGGCGACCGCACACACAACGGAGACTAGCTGAGGCTCCAAGTCGGCAGAGGAGTGGTCCTGCCCAACGCCATCCAGAGCACCTCAGGAGGGACTTACGCCGACGGAAAGGCACCCCAGGTCAACCCCAAGACGCAAGACGGCGTTTGGATCGGGGTGAAACCCGAGGTAGACCTCCTCCCCAGATGAAAGCCCGTGGGAGAGTAGAGAGGCCGCTGGTGTGGAGACCTGAGATGAGGGTGCAAAACCCCGCTCGAATCATTGTCACGGTGCCAGGACAAGGCAGGGAAAGGCGGTCGGTGACGGCGTACCAGCCTGGGAGGTCAGGACCCCAGCCCTGGATCCCTGACGAAATAATCAGGAGATTAGAAGAGGAGGCACCAGCCAACACACACCGTCAGCTACGAAATAGGAAGTGGCGTATCTATCTGTCGGATGGTAGCCGCGTAAGTGTGCGTCCTGCGATGTTAAGACGGTCGTTGGGGTGGGAGTAACTTCAACGGCATTAGATAATTAGAAGTATTTATTTTGTTTATTTTTAATGCTCGCTAGCTATTTTGTTTTTATTTCTGAATAACACTCTTGTGTTTGGTTTTTTTCTGTAAAAGGTGTCTTTCCTTTGTTTTGTTTGAAATAAGAGGTCTTAAATTCCTTGGAGATGTTTATTTTTCAAACTCTAGGCATGGAATCTTTTTTTTTGTTGGTTTTTTTTTTTTTGCTCCCCGAAGTAGGAGGGGGATATAATGGGTCAAAATTATAGAGGGGTAAAGGTTTTACATTTATTATTTAATTATCGGTAGGCCTATACCTTACCTGGTTGGTGGCAGTGGTAAACCTATCATGGTAAGGTAAATAGGCTGTTTTAGGCCTAGCCTAGGGTTGAAGTAGGGATAACCTCACTTTTGGCCAAATCACTTAAGACACTATTGTTGAGATTCAAAAGTCACAGTATAGCATTGTTGTGTACAAAACGAGTGATAAACCGTTTCCGTGTAACCCCCATACCTAATATACACCTTTGGGAAGTACGGTCAGAGTTGTTGTTTAGGCTAGGGTGGTGAACCGCGATCACAAATACAATATCACGTACATAACATGCATACACTTTGTCGGACACTAAGTTACACATCACGGGTGGAAATTATACGCTTTGTTTAAATCAGCGATGATCTTAAAGTCCTGCCGTATAATTTCACAGTCGGCGCAGGTGAATAACAACATTAACAACATAACCTGTTACCTGAACTCGTGACGTCACCGATCAGCTGGGAATTGAATCAGCTGATTCCCCATCCCTAAAGGATTAGGGAGGGGGAAAGAGAGGAGATCCCTTGTGGGCTAGGGATGCAAGAGAAATTCTAATCCTGCGCTTGACAGAGTTAAGACGTGACTTCGTGATTAGTGATTTTGCCATTAGCGTGATATTACGCCGTGCGAAGTGCTTTAGGCAGTGGAGATCCCTGGAGTATACAGGTAATTCGCCGTTTGTTTTAATAGTGTTTACTATTGTTCAGAGTTATTACTTAACAATTAACCCTCATTTTATTCTTTTGGACATAAAACACACGGTAGGGTCTTTGTCGGGTGTTCGAACCTGTATAAGTCGGCTTTAGCGTATGCTAGGGCACCCGTGGGTGGCGATAGCCTAAAGATTTTTAGTGATAAATATTTCATTTAATATTGTGTTTACAATATAGATTGAGGGCGACGGGGTTGGCCGAATATTTTGCCGGAATATTCATTAGGTGTTGAACTGCTGCGGCTAAGCGGGCAAAGTTGAACCCGTCTCTGCAGGTCGTGCAAACACGAGGTCGGGTGGAGCACGCTAAGTATATTCAGCTAAGTAATATTCTAAGTGTTGAGGTTGACGAAACTGCAACCTCAATTTGTTTCAAAATTTCGTTGAACGGTTTTTCATTATTTTTAAATTTAATTTAATTAGCTGTTCCCAGGTGTGAACGATGATGATGGTATAGTAGCGTCGTTGGTTACCGGTACTGAGTTCACACCTGATTCACACTACATTTTTGCGTCTATACAAATCTGTACCTGTGCTAGGTTTTTGAGTTAATTAAATCAATAATTTTTATCTGAACCCTGGAAACTTCCCAGCACGCCGACTTGAGCGATCCGATGGCGAGAGTTGGTGACGTCCTTTCCGCTTTACTACGGAATAGCGTATATATTCCGAGTGGGAAAAACGGCACGTTACACCTATGCCGGCGTAGAGTGCGTATTTATTTCATCTTCGAACTTTGGCCAGCCTTTTCTAATTTATGGAGTTTGTCACCTTCTGCTACCCAGTTGGGTAGTTACTAGAATTATCTTGGCAGGTTAATTCAACTTGCCTATAAAGGCCTGGATATACTACTTCCCAACCCCAATCAACTAGTTTTCATTTTGTATAAATCAATTAGTCCGAAATATTTTAAAGAGGTATTTGTTAATTAAGTATAATTCAACAGTCTTGAGTGTTGAAATTTTTTTTCCGGTTCTGAGATATAAAATTTGAATGATTACTAATACTGTATGAAAAAAAAGAATGAAACATTCCAAATCTACAATAGCTTAACATTTTCCTTCATTAACTCCATGATATGCTGTTTTTATCGAATTTACATAACTAAGAAACCATAACTGTCTATTATCATGTAAAATACCCATCCCTTTATTTTATTCGAATTATTTTGGATATCTGTAAATACCTAATTTAACCATTAATTGACTAAACAATTCGCGTGAATGACAATTTTTTATGTTAAGGTATAGTTCATGTATCTATTTTAAATTATTGATAATGACAATCCTAACCTTTAAGCCTCGGTTTCGAACTTCTTATATATATAGTGTAAAAAAAAATAATGCTAGACATTCGTGACCATATTAAACACGGCACTTACAATGGATGCTCTTGGTCAATTCAACAAAATTAATTTCATTTTTAAATAATTCAGTCCTTAAATGTTTCAGGCATTCAGAGTGGATTACCCCAAGTAAGCTACGTCAAAGCTATCGACGTTTGGATGGGAACATGCACTGGTAAGTTCATACAAACATACATTAGCGGAGCCCTTAAAATCCTCATATGACTTGTAGCTATGCTGAATCTAATTAGAAGGGCTTTTTGAACATTTAAATGCTCACTGATTCAAATACTTCTCTTATATTCTCGCCATGCTATCGAAAATAATTTAAGATTTTTGTCGGGTAAGAAAGTCAAAAAACATTGCCACGTATTTTTCGTATGTATTATTTATATTTTTGAAAGATACAAAAGTTATATGAATATGAAAACTAAATTAATGATTCGAATGTTTGCATTGAAAAATGGTTCAAACAACTATACTAGTTAAACCGCTTTATTTGACTATATTCTGTATTGCCATTTTTTATTGAAGTCACATATAAATTAATAAATTATTGCAGGATATACCTTTGAGTAAATTTAACTGATTACAATCACAGTAAAATATACGAATAAGTAGCAAGGGAATCGTAAATACATTATTCTTGGAGTTACTATAAACAATAGCATCCCCGTCATTTTTGGGATTCGTTTGCTGTAGGGTTTGAGAATGGTCAAATAAAGAAGATGAGAACTAATTGTCTCTGAATCGGAGATCCTGCAAAAAGAGATACGATGATTAATGAATCAATACTAACGTCACGAGAACTCAAGTGCATCTAGCGCCTGTTCCGAAAAGAAATTGTTCTTCTTCAATTATATCTGTTTAAAATATGTAAAATTGTGTTTAAAGCCATTAACCACGATTTCATGTATTTTTAGCGTTTGTATTCTGCGCTCTCTTGGAATTCACGTTCGTCAACTATATGTGGCGGAAGGTGACTCCTGAGATGACCCGACGAGCCATAGTGACCGCCCCTCTCAACACCATCAATGGGGATGCTGCTCCAAACCCCCTGGACTCAATGCCACCATCTCTGGTTAGTTATTTGATGAAATACTATTAAACCCTACGTTTATAGATAAGGAAAACAATATGTGAATTTAATTTGCTTGTACGTCGGTCAAAATACAGCATTTGATCTAAATTTAAAAGCATACCAATCATGTCATAAGAAACATGATTCCAATAAATAAATTTTATGGTTCAAACCTTTTCAAAAACCAAGAAATGAGTTTAACGAGATATTGCAAACAATATATTTATTACATGTATTTTGGAACATACTGTTCCGAATTACTTTTTCATCCATTAATAAGTAATAAAAAATAATTAACTAGTTAACATAAAATTTCAGAACAAACAGCTTTTTAAGCATCCAATACACTGCTGCATTCAATACATGACTGTTTTGTAAGAGAATATATAATATGAATGGATTGGAAATGGTAATATGGGCTATAGTTGGTTAGTTCAGATTTATTTGGCTTTGTATAATTATACCTGATTGATTTAAACTGTGTTTAAAATTAAAGAAAATTTAATTATCAAATATTTTTACTTTTGCCACCAGAGTTTGTAAAAAAGCCACTAAGAACAACAATAATTGAAAAAAGCATTAGTGAGTGTAGCAAGTCATATGTGGTTATTTATATGAGACATTTCACCGTTAATCCTGTGAAATGTAAGCAAATATTGTTCATGTAGTTCAAGAAAATCGATACCACAAAATAAATAATTTTTCTTTTGGATGAAAACATTATACGCTTTACAAACGGTATGAAAGCACGTTTTACAATGTATACTTTCCAAACAATCTATATATATCTAAATGTATAAATGTATGTGTATGTAGTATAAATGTATATAAATTATATATTGCTTTGACTTTTTAGTGGGCTAATGTCACTAGGCGTTCAGACAATGGTAGGTTATAGTTTGTGTTTCATGGTTCTATATATAAAAAAAACTTTTAATATAAAAAACCTTCCTCAACCCTCTTGCGTTAAGTTTCCAGCATAAAAATAATTTATTTTTACAGGCCAAGAAGTGCACACCGGGAAATCTCACCAATACTGTAATGGCCCGGAGAATAGACGAATACTCAAGGCTACTATTTCCTCTCACATTTGCTATCTTCAATGTCTTATATTGGTCCTACTATCTCAAATGAGGACCTCTTACGTGGGGTTAGGACCGTAGGAACCCACCTTCAAGCCACCCCACAACTCTTCGTATTGAATTATCAGTGGATTCAAAGTGAAAATGTTTACATAACTAAACCAAACACATTTCTTGAAATGGTAAAATTAATGTAAACAAATCAATTTTAAGTTTGTCTTTGAATAAGTCAAAATATTTTGTTCTAGTACTCTCACTGTAACAATCATCAAATGACTCCAAACGGTTCAACATAAACTCGCTATGGTTTTTATAAGTTTCTCAGCATCTAAACCTGGAATATAAAGTGATGATGGATCTTTTATGTTTGGTTCGACATGTAAATATTGTAAATAATCTTCACGTTGTGTTGTGATTAAATTAAATGTATTATACTGTAAAATATAAATCTTAACTCTTTTCTAATAAATTACTCGGTATATTTTTTGTATCAAATTTAGATAATTTAACAAAATGTAATTAAATTGTAGTTGTATTAGTTAAATATCACACAGGGGAATAATATGTATCACTCACTATTATGCTACTGTAATTATGAATCACATATGTATATTGCTAAGAATTAAATTAAAATTCCAGTTTAGATTTTAACGTGGTAAAATTAATGTTTCCTTTATGTACAAAAATCAATCACCAGAGCTGTCGTAAATGGCCATGTTAAAATTAATAATATGGCTAAGAATGACATTATATGTAAAACCACAACTTTCGCCAGATATATGCCACACTTTGAGCGTGCTTTATGTGACTCGTAGTTACGTACAGTATTTAGTTTTTCATAAAATATATTTAATCATACAAAGAGTATTTATATTATATTTCATGTTGATGGCCCCTGGATTACTATAAATGACTATAATATTATGGCATGAATTACCTCGTCGATGTAATTATACCATAATATTAAAGTCTTTGTATTCTTAAGGACCCTTGTTATTTTTGGAGCAAAATATTATGTGGTAGCTTATTCCCTGTGTGGTAAATTCGCTAAAGATGTGATATTTACAAATCTTGATCTAACCACGTTTCCATCTACAACATACACGAAACACAATGAAGGGGTATTTAAGTGGGTACATAATCAAATAAAATGTGTAAAGAACTTATCAGTTAATAAAACATAATGAACCGATAGTCCTTTTATCAGCACACAGCAGGTGTATCGTTTTGGGCTGAAATCTCCTTGGGTACTAAATATATATCTTAAATATATAAGGATATTATAATCAAATCATTTCTTAAGTTTTGCCATACACAATAAGTGACGTGTATTGAAAACATCTTTACCTACGACTATTAATTAAAATAGCCTTTCAATTCCATTTTCAGAATAGAAAAGATTCCCTGTAAAATAGTAAAATTCTAATGTTTTGAATGCCAACTTATCAGCTGGTAAAGACCAATTCAATTGTTGATCTGCCGACTTCCACCTGAAACTCACACGTTCTTTCCTTACCCAAGAAGTACGCGGTTTGCTAACCAACCGTTGCAGAACAGTTTTATGAAACGTTTTAAAAATTTCAGATGGTTCTCGTGAAATACCATCGTAGGTAAAGTAGTGTAAGAAACTGGCATAATCAGCTTTTATTTCAATCGTAAAAATTTTTAGGCACTCACCAAAGCTCGTGCCATTACAAATTTATACTTGAGTCGAAAGGACTATATTTACGTGATCATTGCGTTAACTACTATAATGGCCTGTGTAAAACTAAGAGTATTTGTATTTAATCGACTATTAACACCTTTGGTTTACCTATATCTATTATGATTGTTTTAAATATCCCTGAACAAGTTTATAAACACAATTAAAAAATGTTATATACAAAACACAATTTATCATACATCTTAGACTTTGTTAAACTTAATTAGACATTTCTTAATAACTGAGTATATTGGAAAGGGCATTGTACATTGTACATACTTCTAAAATGATGATAACAATAACCCGTAAATCTGTTATAAGCATATTTCAGGTCTATATGTACATAAAATATTTTAAGCTAAAGTTATGTATTTTTATAAAACTTATGCTCTGTTAACAAATAATGATTATTCAGACGTTGATTCTTGTTGCCGTTGATTCATATATTTGTTTATGGAAATGTTAATTTGTTATATTACCACATTCGTGTAAAGTAGGTCTACTGTATTTTAACTGGAACTTATCAACGAAAGCGTGAAAAATTCGACACATATACATCGTATTAGAAAAGTGGTACGTTTTGTGTAAAAAAAGAAGTAATACTATCCGATATTTTATAAAAAAATAATTTTAATCCTAAAAATCTTAATCTATGAACTTTGTAACAGTGAAGAGGTTAAGCAAAATAGTAATGTCGTATTATTTTGCAATAAAAAACCTGTACTCATAGAAATTGGCGAGTCTAGTGTTCCGGATTTCAAACCAACATAATATTATTTTAATGGAATAACAACAATAGTCGAGAAAGACATTTACTTGCTACCAATGGAGTACATGCCCACGTAGTATAAATATATTACAGAGCATTTTAACGCTTCTTATAATCATAAATGAGGTTTAAAATAATATAGTATACGTAAATTCGTCTTCGACTCGTTTTTTCTTGAAGTGATTGAGTCTTTCAATCATTACTGACCTCGTTTAACTTTTTTTTTATTTGTAAACAAAAATGATTTCACTCTGTAAATTATAAGTAGTAATATAAGAAGTGGTAAAATGATGTAAAACACATCAAACCAAATTGTACTGTAAAGGTAATTTTCTTACTTTAAACTCTGAAGAAAGACACTATTTTTTATTCAAGTTTAACCAAAATATGTGAACATTGTTTAGATATCAATAAATAGATTATTATGAAAGTATTATATATCAATATAAATGTTTAATGTATTCCGTTTGTCAATATTTGATGGATTTAAGATGATTGTTATAATAACAGCCTGTATATTAGGAGAGTTAATACAGTAAGAAAATGTTAGCTCTCTGAAGCTCTTATCTTATGTTATACAGCCTAACAATAAAAGGAGCTTAATGGTTTAAATACAAATAATTCAAAAATGCGAAAGTTTGAATAAATAGAATTATATTATATAACAACCTGATAACATTTAAATGATAAATATGCAATGTAATTTCATTACAAGACTGGTAGTTTATCACATAAATTGAACGATTCTTTATCCCCATCTTACAAATTGTTACGGTTAGTTTGGTAGCAAATGTTTCTAATATACATAAAAAATAGGTTCTATTATTTACTAAGTAAATAAAGCCCTGTTTTTTTATGTACAAGCTATATTTTTGTTTACTAACATATGTCTAATAAATGTGCCAATGACATGTACAACCGTCAACCAATCATATTAAAACATTATTTTAATATGGCAGGGCTAAATATGACATTGTAAAGGTAAAAATAGATTGTATTAGCATATTTAAAAGTATGTCTATGGTCCATTCTGATTAGGTTTCGTATAGGCCTAATAAGTCAATCTAAGCCAACAGTAAACTTAAAAAAAGAAACACGCTTAACTTCTCAGCATTAGGATGTAGGGTTTTGTTTGGATAGATATTTTACAGTATAATGTAAGATTTAAATATTTTAGTTCGAAAAGGTATTCTCAAAATATTTAAGGGTAAACTATAATTTTGGAGTAAAATTAAATGGACCAATTAATCACGAATCTTAGTTGTAGAAAAATGCAAGGCGTAAAACTTAAAATTTATAGTTAAGGGGTTTCTCAAATATAAATTCAACAATCGTCTGGTTTGTTTTCAAAGGTGTTTATTCGTTGTGTATGTTTGTTGTATGTGTACGAAATTGATGTAGATGTTGATTTGTGTTACTATAAAAGTTCTATTTTATTCTGGTATCGGCTTTGTAAATTACTAAATGTGTATATTTGTGTTGGTTGTTTTGTATGTGTTTACTGTTTAACTATCTTTAAGGCACATTGCCACCTATTCCTATTTATGTCATACCAAAACTAAGAGTGTAAAGAAAATTAAAAGTTTTCAGACTTGATAAATTTCACACTTTAAAACTAAAACCTTCTTTCAAGAGTGTGACTTACATATTGAGCTTTTCAGTAGCTTATTAACACACAAAAAGGTCCAGTGGTTAACTGTTATTAAAATAACTTTTAACCAAAATGTAAAACATTATATTCTGAAGTTCTTTTTTTCATAGTTCTATGTATTTTGCAGAGTTAAGTTATAAATGAAATTGTTACCAAACGAATTCTAAGAAAACTTCTCTTACGGTATTGAAGTCAATGGAACACTCTTAGCAATGAATTCCTTTTGACACTCTCTCAAGATTTTCTAATGTGTTTAATCAAATGTAGGTTGAGAAAATTTAAAATTTAAAAATAATGCAAAAAAACTATGCGAATATACCAATAAAGTGACAATTAATTTTCTTAGAAATTATCTAACTTATAAACTGGTTTTATAACACTAGAACCCTGCGGAAATAGACTTTCTACGAATAGATTTTCTACGGAAATAGGGGAGATTTCAATTTAGTCACTCGATAAATTGTCAGGCTCTTTGCCGTCATAAGGAAATCATACTGATCTTAAAAAAATATACATATAGTAGTGCATAAATGTTCAAGGCATACAAAAATGGCAAAGATTTTGGTCTCATAATAATTATCATTATCATTATTGTATGTTATCATTGATAACTGTTAAAACACATAACAGTAGTGTAATAAAATAGTTTCAACAACTATAATTCATTAAATAATTATTGGTTTTAGTATCTTTAGGTTTCCTATAAACAATAGGTACACAATATGTTTATTGCCTAAGGTATAATGTATATTGATGTAGTACTAATGACCAGCTGTTAAAATTGCTTAATTTAGGTTTTTAATAAATATTTTTAAAGTTATGCTGTACTTTATTTGCACGCATATTGCCATTTTTGTCTTAGAGTTCATTCGAAAATCGTTTAAATTATACACAATTTCAATCTTACCGGTTATAATACATTTCTTTTTTATTTGTAATTAATTATTAACATACAGACTGTCCCAAAAGTCCCGGACCGGTTTAATATTTTCTAAACAACCACAGACAAATCAATAAGATTTGGTACATCAACAACACACCTAAAAATGTACTTTTTTAAGGAAATATAAATCTTCTGTCACATCATGGGGACGTCCCGCTAGGAGTCAGAAGGAAATCTTAAATAGAAGCATAGGTTGACATGTACATCAAATTAAAGGTCTTTAATAGCAAAATATAATGCCGCAAATTTGAACTCAAACGGACAACCGAGTCAAGAATGACAGTTGTTCAAAGGATTCATTTGATTTGCATTGCTATTATACGCTTACTCCTCGGGGGGCACAGCCCTAGGAATCGGAAGAAAATTGTTAACGTAAGCATAGGTCGATAT